GTGTGTGCTACAAAGTGTGCTTTGAAAAATGGTCCTAAGTCAAATTTTTTTCCAGTGGTGTTGTAACAAAACCAACTGTGGATTACTTGCATTTTTCCTTTTCCTCCTAGGGCCCTTTCCCTTTTAAAAAGCGAATTCCCTCGTTGCCTGAGTCATCTTGTCAACCTCTGATCTTCTGCAGAAGGATAAGATCTACACTTCCTTTCTCCAGACTGCTGTTTCTCCCTGCAGATTCATCGTCAAAAGGCTGATAATTTCCCGTAGTCTGTGGCTTCTGGCTTCCAAAGCCTGACTCAGCGGCTGCCCAGATCACTCAAAACCAGATGTTTTCTAGCAACTGAAGAACATGTTTCCAAACTAGGGTGGACCGAAGGAAGACTGCAGCGTCATCTGCTTCTGTCTGCGTCTTGCAGAACTCAGGACTAAATGAACCGACTTGCTCTGTACGTCGCTGTCTCAGATTTATGCCAAGGGTGAATAATCCACTTTTTGTATGCGAAATGGGGAGGGGGGACGAAGAGGAGAAGTGTAGGGGGATAAATGTAAAGGCAGATTCATGAAGAAGGGAACTGTCTTGACTGGGACATTAGAAGAGTAGAGTAGAGTAGAGTAGAGTAGAGTAGAGTAGAGTAGAGTAGAGTAGAGTAGAGTAGAGTAGAATAGAGTAGAGTAGGGTAGGGTAGGGTAGGGTAGGGTAGGGTAGGGTAGGGTAGGGTAGGGTAGGGTAGGGTAGGGTAGAGTAGAATAGAATAGAATAGAACAGAATAGAATAGAATAATGGAATGAAGTAGCAGACTAGACTAGACTAGACTAGACTAGACTAGACTAGACTAGACTAGACTAGACTAGACTAGACTAGACTAGACTAGACTAGAATAGAATAGAATAGAATAGAATAGAATAACAGAATTGGAAGGGACCTTGGAGGTCTTCTAGTCCAATCCCTTGCTTAGGCAGGAAACCCTATATTTCAGACAAATCGTTGTCCAGTCTCTTCTTAAAAACTTCCAGTGTTGGAGCACCTACAACGTCTGGAGGCAGGTTGTTCCACGGGTTAATTGTTCTAACTGTCAGGAATTTTCTCCTTAGTTCTAGGTTGCTCCTCTCCTTGATTAGTTTCCATCCATTCCTTCTTGTCCTGCCTTCATGTGCTCTGAAGAATAGGATGACTCCCTCTTCTTTGTGGCAGTGCCTCAAATGTTGGAAGACTGCTATCATGTCACCCCCTAGTCGTTCTTTTCATTAGACTAGAGATACCCAATCCCTGCAACCATTCTTCATATATATTTACCCTTCAGTCCCCTAATCATCTTTGTTGTTCTTCTCTGCACTCTTTCTAGAGTCTCAACATCTTTTTTATATTGTGGTGCCCAAAGCTGGATGCAATCTGTCCCTTCTCTTCATGTGTCCCAAGTGGTGGTAGAATGGCAATTTAAGATACAGCTGAATGAGACTTTCTGAACCAATTTCAGCTGGTCTTTTGGTCACGCTAAAACTGATTTGGTTGCCAAAGACCCTGTCATCTGCTCGTACCCGTACGAGGTGCCAGGGACCACTATCAAGTTCTCTTTGTCCATCACAGTCAGTTGAGTGGGCATGTGCTCCAGGTCCAATCAATTAAAATAATGTCATTTTGCAGGACCCAGGAAGTGTGCCTACTGCCCTCCAAAATGATCTTCCCCCAGATAATTGGGTGGCTTCCACCCTTATGTCATTCCTAAAACTCAAAAGATGCTTTTTCACGAGGCAACTGGACTTTCTTGTTTTTCTTTGAAGATGTTTCGCTTCTCATCCAAGAAGCTTCTTCAGCTCATTAAAAAAACTGTTGAAGAACTGATTGTTCTCCCAGGCTTGGGGGGAATAAGGTAATCGTGGCACCTTCATTTGCCTCGTTTTATTTTGATTTGACCTGTATTGGTTTGGCTTTGGTTCTGGTCAACTATTATTTTATATGATAGACAGAGGGTGGATGGATGGATGGATGGACGGACAGATGGAGATGATGGAGACGGAGACGGATAGCAAAGCTTCATTCGTGTCCTTTGAGAACTTGGCAGCTTCCATTCTCACCCACCATGCTATCTTCATCCTCTAGTATAGTGTTTGTCAACCTTGGCAACTTTAAGACCTGTGGACTTCAAGCTGGCTGGGGAATTCTGGGAGCTGAAGTCCACATGTCTTAAAGTTGCCAAGGTTGTCAAACACTAATTTAGTAGCTAGATCTCAGAGTGGGACTCACTGAACGTTGTCTTCTCCACAAGACAGTGTCCTAATGCAGAGGTCCTCAACCTTTTGGGCACCAGGGACCGGTTCTTTGGAGAAAGGTTTTTCTGAGGACCGGAGGGTGTGTCGTTTTGTGTGCTGCCTGCATCCCACAGATGGGGCTTTGCTTGTTTGTGCGGCCTGGTTGCTAGCATGCTGCGGCCCGGTACCGGTCCACGGACCAGGGGTCGGGGATCCCTGTTCTAATGATCTTGCTGGATTTACTTTCCAACCACAGCCAAAGTGGTTGCTAAGCAAAGCAGTTGAGGTGTGCCTGATTTTACCACCTTTTCTGCCATGATTGTTAAGTGAAGCATTGCCATGGTTAAGCGAACCACGTGGTCGTTAAGCGAACCTGGCTTACCCCATTGAATTCCCCCATTGTTGGAAGGCGGCTGGGAAGGCCGCAGATGGCGATCATGTGACCCCAGGACGCTGCAACCATCGTAAATCCATGTCAATTGCCAAGGGCCCAAACTTGGACCATGTGACTGTGGGGATGTTGTGACATTGTAAAAGGGAGGCCCGGTGGTAAATCACCTTTTTTGGGTGCCATTGAAACTTTAAACAGTCGCTAAGCAAATGGCTGTAATTCGAGGACTATATGTCACTACAGGAAATTGCTGGGGGTAGGTAGTGGAAGAGAGAGAGAGAAAGAGAGAGAGGGGTTCTTCCTTGAAAGAGCAACATGATTAACAGAATAACAGAGTTGGAAGGGACCTTGGAGGTCATCTAGTCCAACCCCTTGCTCAGGCAGGAAACCCTATACCATTTCGGACAAATGGCTGTCCAGTCTCTTCTTAAAAACTTCCAGTGTTGGAGCATTCACCACTTCTGGAGGCAGGTTGTTCCACGGGTTAATTGTTCTAACTGTCAGGAAGTTTCTCCTTAGTTCTAAGTTGCTTCTCTCCTTGATCAGTTTCCACCCGTTGCTTCTTGTCCTGCCTTCAGGCACCTTGGAGAATAGCTTGACTCCCTCTTCTTTGGGGCAGCACCTGAGATACTGGAACACTGCTATCGTGTCCCCCCTCGTCCTTCTCTTCATTAAACTAGACATACCCAATTCCAGCAACCGTTCTTTATATGCTTTAGCCTCCAGACCCCTAATCATCTTTGTTGCTCTTCTCTGTACTCTTTCTAGAGTCTCAACAACTTTTTTTATATTGTGGTGACCAAAACTGGACGCAGTATTTCAAGTCTGATCCTTGACTTCTCTCAACCTCATAATGATGAAGAGATCAAATCACACTTGCTTATTTCATTGGAGGGTTACAGGACACTTACAAATTAACGGTCTCTGGGTGGTATGGTGGCAAATGTTATGACGTGCAATTTTGTTTTTTTTTTATTATTTTACTTTTTTGCAACTTGTCCTGGGTACAGGTAGTCCTCAACATATGACCATAATTGAGCCCCAATTTTTTGTTGCTAAGCGAGACATTTGTTAAGTGAGTTTTGCCCCATTTTACGACCTTTCTCGCCAGAGTTGTTAATTCAATTATTGCCGTTGTTAAGTTAGTAACATGGTTATGAAGCGAGTCTGGCTTCCCCATTCGCCAAGGGGGATCACGTGACCCCAGGACGCTGCAACCGTCATAAATAGGAGTCAGTTGCCAAGCGGCTGAATTTTGATCACTTGACTCTGGGGATGCTGCAGTGACGATAAGTGTGAAAAACAGTCACTTTTTTCATTGCTGTTGTAACTTCGAACAATCACTAAAGGAACGGTGGTAAGTTGAGAACTATCTGTATATTTTTAGTGTACCTTCTGCATTTTTATTGTATTACAGATACATTCAACCAGGTGCTGGTTCATAACATTTGCCTGGCCTGAGGGGGGAAAAAATTAGGATTAAACACCAGGGAAGGGATGTTATAAAATAAATAGTGTTTTATTTTTACATCGTTTTATAAAACTTTTTTTTTTACATCATCATTCGACTTTTTTTAAAAAAAATATTAAATAGCCCTCCTTTTCATTATTAAAATATGGCAAATAAATAACTTCAGATCCTTCTTTTTTTTCCTGCAAGAAAGATGTCCCTCAAATTCCACTGAGACAATAGCGTGGCCAAAATAATAATAATAATAATAACAAAAAATAGAGGTAGCGGGTGCGAATTTGAACCCACCCGTTGACTGTCTTTCCAGGAGAAAAAGAATCGAGGAAGGCAGAAGTTGTCCAGCTTTTGTCACACAACTGTAAACGTTTTGTGTTTCTTTTGTAATCAAGCTTCCACAAAGCCTAAGACGAATTGTTTTTTTTCCCTTTTCGCAAATTAAAAAAAAAAAAAAGCCGCAAGCGACTGTTCTAAAATTACGTAGCGTCCATTAGATGCCAAAATCTAATTTCTCCCACCACTCCCCCGTTCTTCTCAGCAAGATCTTCTCTCCTGCAGAACTTCAGGAGAACCTCAAGTGATGAGCAATGGACAACAACATCTCCATCTTTGCATCCAACGGCCGTGGCATCAGCATTTCAGTGCAATTCAGTAAGTCCCTATGCAGTCCACACCCCTGTGTGGTGGCATCACCCCGTGGCTCCACGCAAGAGGTGGGCTGCGAGTCAAAAGAGTACCTGGGTACTATAAGTACTCCTGAAATGAGAAGACTTAGCAGTAATAAATAAATTTCAGATCGGGAAACATTTCTCAGGACAGGAGGACAGAGAGGACTGCAAGTTACCCCTCTCATGGTTTGGTTGGATACAATAAATATCCTCCCTGAGAAACACACATACACACACAGACCCCCCTCACAGCTCCTGTACCATCATTCGGCTTAACTCTGGATTGGAGAAGAGAACGAAGGAGTCTAAACTTCAACCGAACAAGAGACACCTTGAGTTTAAAAGATGGATTTTCCCCTTGAATTAGAAACTCCTCGTTCTGACCCTGGAAATCCTTCAGTTAAGCTGCTCCGTACTCCGACAGCTTAGAGGAGAATCTAGGATTCTGGAGATCTTCGCCCTCTTTCCGGCTTCACACCTCCAAGCTGTAGAAGTCCATTCGCTTCCGGCAGCACTTCTGAATCCATATCCAGTAAAGCAGGACCATGAATGTCCAATAGCCCAAGTAGATGGCCAAACCAGCCAGCAAGTACAAGATCTCCGTTTGTTTGGCCTCTGTTGTCCAGTCAGCCAAGGCCTCTTGGTAGATCGTGTAGATCAAGCCGCCCAACAGAAGCAGACCCCAGATGGACACGGGCAACAGAGGCATGTAGTTGCCCACCATTTTCTTCCTTCCTGAGGTGCCCCAGCTGCTCTTGTTCATGGTCAAGATGGCGAAGTACTTGGCCGGAAGCAGGCCTCCCATGTAGAGGACGGCGTAAAGGGACATGAAGAGCATGACCGGGTTACTTCTCAGCCAGCAAGCGTAAAGGGCCTTCACGCAGGCCACCAGCTGGACACAGAGCAACACCCACAGCACGTCCCACAGGTTCCCCCCATAGAAGAGCCGCAGGACAGTGGCTGTGACGAAGAAAGGGAAGATGCCCGAGACCACGGACTCGTAAGTCATCCAGAGGTGATGACGGTGCCACCAGAGGGCATTGTAGAGCCATTCCCGGAAGTAGGACTTGGTCCAACGGGTTTGTTGAGCCAGCCAACGTAGGAACAAGGATGGGGTCTCCGAGTAGCAGCGGGAACGAGCTGTGTATCTGGTGCAAGGGAAGGAGGCAAAGATTAACACGGGAGGAACAAGACACAACTTGATTTGGCTCGATTATGGTCTTGGGTACTTCCTGCTCTGATCCTTTCCTGATCTTGGCTACACTAGATATGCAGGGAACTAAATATGTTTAGCCTAACAGAAGAGGAGGATTGGGGTGACATGACAGCTGTCTTCCAGTATTTGAGGGGCAGCCACAGAGAAGGAGGGTTGACTTACTCTCCTAAGCACCTAAGGACAGGACAAGAAATAATGGGTGGAAGCTCCTTCAAGAGAGATCTAATCTGGAACTAAGGAGAAATTTCCTGACAGTGAGAACAGTCAGTCAGTGGAACAGCTTGCCTCCCAGAGTTTGGGATGCTCCATTGCTGGAGGTTTTCAAGAAAAGATTGAGCATCCCTTTGTTTGGGAAGGTATAGGGCAGTGGTGGCGAACCTATGGCACGGGTGCCAGAGGTGGCACTCGAGCTCTCTCTGTGGGCACACGTGCCGTTGCCGCAGCCTCGCCTCCCCCCATGACCCCCTCATCTCCAGCTGCCCCCCTGAAGGAGAGTTGCCCCCGAGCGTGGCCCACATGGAGCAGCGCAGCCAAGGACATGGCAGCCAGGCAGCGTAGACAAGACTCTGCCCTCACGCCCCATCACGCACAGTTGATGCTGCGGGGCGCGGGCAGAGGGTGTGGCTGCCATAGGGCTGCTGGGCTGCCTGGGCGATCTGCGGCGGGCCCCGGAGGCAGTGAGTGGTCCTGTGGGCAGGCGGGGTTGGGGATGGGGGGCAGAGCGGGGGCAGGGAGGGGGGGTGGAGCAGGGGCGGGGCCAGTTTTGGGGCACTCGGTCTCTAAAAGGTTCGCCATCACTGGTATAGGGTCTTCCGTCTTTGGCATGGGGTTGGGCTAGAAGACCTCCAGGGTCCCTTCCAGTACTATGTTTCTAGATGAAATCTTAGTCCAAGCTGTGGGAACTGAAGGACAACATGGTGAGGTTTGGCACAATAAATCCATCTCATTCCTACAATTCCCTATCTGCAAAGTGGGAAGGACAGTGTTCTACCTCAGGGGTCTCCAAACTGGCAACTTTAAGACTCGTGGACTTCAATTCCCAGAATTCCCCAGCCAGCTAAGATTCTGGGAGTTGAAGTCCACAAGTCTTAAAGTTGCCGAGTTTGGAGATCCCTGTTCTACCTCATGAGGTTATTGTTGTAAGAAAATGAGAGAAAGGGCCATGAAAAGATTTTTTTCCCCATCTGAATTTGTATGCAACACATTAAATTAGGTGGAAAGGGATTGAAAAATCTGTAGTTCAAGTTGTTATGGAATTTCAGCAAACTGAATAGCTCCCTTTTCCTATTAAGTTCATAATAGAGTTTCTTGATTTGGACAAAGCCTCTTACATAAAAGCAGACATTAAGTTCATTAACAGAAATTGATCATATTGTATGTAACTTAGCAATATAGTCTGGGCATATCAAAAAGTATTGTGTGGGTGTTAAGTGCGCAGCAGAAGCTTAAAGTAATTAAAGCTTGAACCAATTTGATTTCCTAAAAATAACGCTTTAAAAGGAATAATGTTTGGGCAAAGATTTATTAAATCAGCTCAGTACCAAACCCTGGGAAAAAAATAAGAAGAGCGCAAATTTAACTTGTAGCTTGATATCACAGTACCTACAAGTGCTGCTACCAGTGTCAGTTAAAAAGACAAAGCGTCAACAAAATCACAACATTCCTTAATGTTCATTAATGACTCCCAAAGACCTGTCTTTGTGTTTAACAATAACCCTATAAGTCAGTATTTCTCAACCTGGGCAAGTTTAAGAGGGCCATGCTGAGTGAGGAATTCTGGGAGTTGAAGTCCACCCCTCAGGTTGAAAAAAACACTGCTGTAAGTCAAGGGCTTCACAAATGAAGTGAAGTGTTGAAATGGGAAGTCCTGCTTNAGTTTTTGGGCACTCAGTCTCTAAAAGGTTCGCCATCACTGGTATAGGGTCTTCTGTCTTTGGCACGGGGTTGGGCTAGAAGACCTCCAGGGTCCCTTCCAGTAATATGTTTCTAGATGAAATCTTAGTCCATGCTGTGGTAACTGAAGGACAACATGGTGAGGTTTGGCACAATAAATCCATCTCATTCCTACAATTCCCTATCTGCAAAGTGGGAAGGACAGTGTTCTACCTCAGGGGTCTCCAAACTGGCAACTTTAAGACTCGTGGACTTCAATTCCCAGAATTCCCCAGTCAGCTATGCTGGCTGGGGGATTCTGGGAGTTGAAGTCCACGAGTCTTAAAGTTGCCGAGTTTGGAGGTCCCTGTTCTACCTCATGAGGTTATCGTTGTAAGAAAATGAGAGAAAGGCCATGAAAAGATTTTTTCCATCTGAATTTGTATGCAACATGCTAAATTAGGTGGAAAGGGGTTGAAAAATCTGTAGTTCAAGTTGTTATGGAATTTCAGCAAACTGAATAGCTCTCTTTTCATATTAAGTTCATAATAGAGTTTCTTGATTTGGACAAAGCCTCTTACATAAAAGCAGACATTAAGTTCATTAACAGAAATTGATCATATTGTATGTAACTTAGCAATATAGTCTGGGCATACCAAAAAGTATTGTGTGGGTGTTAAGTGCGCAGCAGAAGCTTAAAGTAATTAAAGCTTGAACCAATTTGATTTCCTAAAAATAACACTTTAAAAGGAATAATATTTGGGCAAAGATTTATTAAATCATCTCAGTATCAAACACTGGAAAAAAAATAAGAAGAGCGCAAATTTAACTTGTAGCTTGATACCACAGTACCTACAAATGCTGCTACCAGTGCCAGTTAAAAAGACAAAGCGTCAACAAAATCACAACGTTCCTTAATGTTCGTTAATGACTCCCAAAGACCTGTCTTTGTGTTTAACAATAACCCTATAAGTCAGTATTTCTCAACCTGGGCAAGTTTAAGAGGGCCATGCTGAGTGAGGAATTCTGGGAGTTGAAGTCCACCCCTCAGGTTGAAAAAAACACTGCTGTAAGTCAAGGGCTTCACAAATGAAGTGAAGTGTTGAAATGGGAAGTCCTGCTTGCAAAAATAAATTAGCATCCTAAAAGAACTACCTCAACCGACTTCTCACATTCCATTCCACATTGTTCCTATTCCATGAGATACCCAGATTTCCTTACTTGGTGGCGTAGCCAATGCTCAACATCCTGTTGGTCAGGTGTCTATCATCCCCAAAGGTGCAGTGTGTTCCAAGGAACTTCTGATTGTACCAGGACTCCAGAAACTGCTGTAGGAGGTCATTCCGATATAGACCTGATGCAACCAATAAAAAGAAGGGATAAGATTTTTTTTTTAAAAAAAATGCAGTGGATCAGGGAAATACATTTTTTAAAAATGCAATGGATCAGGGAAATACATTAATCTTTCCAATATCGCTTCATGACTTCCTTAGAGAAAGGACATTGTTTACGGTGGAAATCTTACCTAAGGGACCACTGATGCAGGAGACACAGTTGAAGTAGGACTGGCAGGCCCGCTCAATGTTGAAAGCCATCCAGTAGCGCAGGCTGCTCATGAAGCTGATGTAGGAATCGGACAGGTTGAGGATCCTCACATCTCCACCAACTGCCCCATAGCCTTCGTTTGACTCCAGCACCTTCACCAGTTCTACCGTTGCTTCCGGTTCCAACTTGGTGTCAGAGTCACATACCTGGGAGAAACCAAGAGTTTAGTCTAAAGACACCCCTTCACCTTGTCAAGAAGATCTGCATTGCTGGAACCTAGATCCTGGCTCCAGAAGAATTCTACAGTTGACCTCTTCTTTCCAAGGACCGGCTGAGATTGCACAGTCCTTGCGGGAGAGATGCAGCATCAACTGATAATTTGCCACAGATTTTGCAACTTCCTTTGATTGCCATATAAAGTATGGTGTACATACATGTACAAGCCAGCCCAAAGGCCACAGTAAGATCAGAAGAACACATAGATTGTCCATGAGAAGAATCTTGGGAGTCAGGAGGAAAAACTACAGCCTAGACCAGATGTAGGCAACCTTGGCTCTTTTATGACTCGTGGACTTCAACTCCCAGAATTCCCGAGCCAGCATAGCATAGCTGGCTCAGGAATTCTGGGAGTTGAAGTCCACGAGTCATAAAAGAGCCAAGGTTGCCTACCCCTGGCTTAGACAGTGGTAGTTCTCTGGAAACTAAACGATGGTTTCCACAGGAAGTTAAAGCCATGAGTACTAATACTACTTATATTGTAAAGTTAGATATAGAATCTTGCAAGTCTAAAAGCACTTTTCCTTTCCCTGTCTTTAGTTTCCACGGAATTAGTCCCTTCTGAGATCTTTTCTCCAACCCCATTTTTGCTTTGGACTCAGATGTCTTTTATCAGACCATTATCTAGGCCAGGGGTCTCCAAACGTGGCAGCTTTAAAGACTTGTGGACTTCAACTCCCAGAATTCCTCAGCCAGTCATGTTGCCTGGGAAATTCTGGTAGTTAAAGTTTGGAGACCCCTGGTCTGAGCGGTGGCTTTTCCTCCTGTCTCCCAAGCTTATTGTCACAGCCATTGCATCACAATTTTCAGCAATTGCGATGCAATGGAAGTGCACAGTCTAGTAAACAACCAAGTGCAACCTATCTCATTTATAACCGTCACTGATAAGAGTTTACTTCCTCAGTTGCCCCATTGATAGAATGGGGATGAAAGATATCTAACCTTGGAATTGCTGCATACGCAAAAGAGGAAATGCATGATTTGTTTTCCAGAAAATCAAGATTACAGGATTAAAGATAAAGGGGCTGAAGAGATAAAAGGAAAAGACACCTTATGGAAAGTAATTCAGGAAGCTTTATTTAGAGATCAGTCAAGGTCAGCGAGGTTGCCCCACTAGAGTTTGTGGGGAGCATTTTAGCTTCCAACTGTAATGGTTGGATGTGATGGCAAATGGGTGGGCTGCCAGAACTTACACAATTACCACACTAGAATCTGAAATCTTAGACCAGGGGTGGGGAACCTTGGCTCTTTTATGACTTGTGGACTTCAACTCCCAGAATTCCTGGCTCAGGTATTCTGGGAGTTGAAGTCCACAAGTCATAAAAGAGCCAAGGTTCCCCACCCCTGGTCTAGACATTGTAATGAATGAGATGACAGAAATCCTAGTCCAACAACAGTAGATGAAAGATACACAAGTTTGAAGACCACTAAACACCTGGGTGCTTAATTGCTTGGATGAAGAATAATGGCTAGACCAGAGCCATTTCCCTCAACCACGTACCTTCCAGATGTACCAAACTATAAATCCCAACACACCCAGTCATGATCAGATGCCAGGGTAAATTTGCCAGGACATCTGGAAGAGACTAGTTAAAAGAATGTTGGGGTAAGATGTTGATCTGGAGTTCAAATCTCTCCTTAGCTCTGAAGGCCACTGCATCTTTTGGGGCAAGGCACTATCTGTCAACCTTCCAGAGAGGATAAAAATGAAGGGGAATAGACCGTGTGATAGCCCAAGCTCTTCAAACGGAAGATGAGATAAATAACATTGTATTATAAAAGAATAATAATAATAATAATAATAATAATAATAATAAAACCATTGGTACCTGAACATAGTCCACTGAATTCCCAAGGGCCTTGAAAGCTGTGTACATGACTTCTCGTTTCCCACCCCATTTTTGCATGATGCAGACACATCGCTTGGTGCGGATCAGTTCTTCCACCACAAGTTGCCCAGGGTCTTCCATATCAATCTCGGTGTAGTGAGAGGGCTCATCCCCAGTCTGGTAACCACTGTCCCTTTTCTCCATATCCAACTGAGGCTGATGGTGGTAGTTGTTCTCCCAAATAAAAGTGCCCACATCTTCTCCAGCAAAGACATCTTGGAACATATCCATCATGTATCGGTCCTCACTGCTGTTCCCGTCTACCACCATGATGATCCGGAGTTTATCTGGGGGATACAGGGTTGCCTTGACAGATTGAAGGCACTCGCGGAGGTAGGCTGGGTCCTCCTGGTAAGCAGAGATGGTGAGGGCCACACTCTTGGTATAGCTGCAGGAGACTGAGTCCCTCCGCATCCTCTTGTGCTCCAGGAAAGCAAAGAAGCTTTGGATGATGAGGTGGAAGGTGAGGAAGGCTCCGTAGAGACCAAAGGCCATGATGTGGTATTGGTCAGAGACCAGCTGGATGCCCGTAATGTAGGCCCAGGCCAGAACTGATAATATGAGCAAGGCAAAGCCAATGGTGAGGATCCGACGTCCGGTCGAGACAAAAAATTTGGTGGCTTTGGAAACATCCATCCCTAGAAGAAGAAGAAAACCAGAGAAGTGATTAATCTCAGTTTTTATGATACAAATTTAGTACTTATCAGTAGGAACAGACACAAGGTGCCATGTCGCAAGGACACCGAAAATGCAGAATATGATCCTCAACTTAGATTTCAGTAAACTCCTTACAGAGGGATACAGCAACATTTTGCTGTGTCGGAGTTGAATTTAACTACAGATTGGATCACCTCCATACTAAATCATCAAGCATGTCTCACAAACGCGCGTGGCCGATTTCATAAACCACGATGCTAAAGTGTAATTTAGTTCAGGGGTCTCCAACCTTTGCTGGCTGGGAGTTGAAGTCCACAAGTTTTAAAGTTGCCACGGTTAAGGTCCCCTGATTTAGTTGGTTCATATGTGTAAACTCCCATCCATAAATGATATGGTTATACATGAGACCATCCTAGCCTCTTTCAACCATGATGAGAAGAATCTCTGACTTTGTATGTGTACAAAACCATTCGTGACTGAACCTGCTATTTAAAAGATTGTAGAATAAGGTCAACTGAAGCTCAACCATCCAACTACTAAGTGACTTGCAATTATTCTTCCTGTTGACCCACAAGGAGAGGGGGCCATAGGGATTTTCCATTAGGAAAAAAGGGTTGAGATGCTCCCCTCCCAGCCTGGGTGGGTACCTCCTTTCCAGGCTGCGCCCACCTCAAACATCACTAAGCTAATTTCCTGGCACGGTCTCAGAACAAAGTTGTTAAAAATATATTTATAGAGCCAAGAAAGGGGCGTTTCTCCAAATCAGAGCCATTGGCAGCAATGGTTCACTGAATAAATAAATAAATGACAAAGTATGGAGATGGTATGTATTATTACCACTTGTACATACACATGTGTGCTCTTTCTTACTTAACCCTACTTAAGAGAGTATTAAAATCTTTTCCTGAGGTTCGCCACTAAGGGCACAATCATATTTTATAGGGGAGGGCCAGCCGTACAATTAGGATGAGGCTGTTTCCTTGGGCAGCACCTACGTGAAGACCAAAGATGAAAAAAGCAAACCAAACATGGTTAAATCACGGTTTATCTTTTTTGCAGAGATGACGGATGGATTTTCTGCTTTCTGGTGGAAAAAACCTACTTTGGTTAGTCTTGGGCAGGAGTAGGCAACCTTGGCTCTTTTATGACTCGTGGACTTCAACTCCCAGAATTCCTGAGCCAGCCATGCTGAGGGGAAAGGGGGAGGTTTCCAAGCTGAGCCATGCTGGCTCAGGAATTCTGGGAGTTGAAGTCCACAAGTCATGAAGGGGCCATAGTTCCCCCCATGCTGGCTCAGGAATTCTGGGAACTGAAGTCCACCAGTCATGAAGGGGCCATAGTTCCCCCATGTTGGCTCAGGAATTCTGGGAGTTGAAGTCCACCAGTCATAAAAGAGCCAAGGTTGCCTACCCCTGGTCTTGGGTAACAGACAGAACGACTTTAGAAACAAGTGCCCAGGTAGTCCTCAACGTATGACGACAATGGAGCCCAGAATTTCCATCGCTAAGCAAGACAGTTATTGAGCTTTGCCCTGTTTTACGACTTTTGTCCCACACTGTTGTTAAGTGAATCACTGCAGTTGTTAAGTTACTGACACGCTTGTTAAGTGAATCTGGCTCCCTCCCCCGTTGACTTTGCTTGTCAGAAGGTCGCAAAAGGAGAACACGTGACCCTCGGGGACACTGCAACCCATCTTAAATGTGAACCAGTTGCCAAGTGGGTGAATTTTGATCATGTGACCAAGGGGAGGCTGCGACGGTCGTAAGTGTGAAAAATGGTCATAAGTCACTTTTTTCAGAGCCATTGTAACTCCGAATGGGTGTCAGGGACTACCTATAACAAAAGGTTGTGAGCTGGCCTTGAACGTGGCGGTAATCCCATGCTAGGGGTGGAAACAGATCATTTTTGGAAGACCACCGACTAGGTAGGCTCAGAAGTCCCCAAATGATGTCTATCAGCCTGGGCAATCAAAAGACTAAGATTCATCCCTCAGGACTCTTATCTTGTGGGATTTTCCTCTGAGCGGGGCAGGAATCACCCTGAGAACAAAACCTTGAGGTCCTGGAAGAGCTTTATTTTATTTTACTTAATTTATTTGTACCCTGCCTTTATTTTTTCTTATAAATCACTCAAGATAGCGAACATAATCCATCACACAGCTTCCTCCTCCTCTTTTTCCTCACAACAGGTGAGGTGAGTTGGGTTGAGAGAGGATGACTGGCCCAAGGTCACCCAGCCAGCTTTCATGGCTAAGGCGGGACTAGAACTCACCGTCTCCTGGTGACTGGCCCAAAGTCATCCAATCAGCTTTCATGCCTAATGCGGAACTAGAACTCACGGTCTCCTGGTGATTGGCCCAAAGTCACTCAGTCTGCTTTCATGGCTAAGGCGGGACTAGAACTCACCGTCTCCTGGTGACTGGCCCAAAGTCCCCCAGTCAGCTTTCATGCCTAATGCGGAACTAGAACTCACGGTCTCCTGGTGATTGGCCCAAAGTCACTCAGTCTGCTTTCATGGCTAAGGCGGGACTAGAACTCACCGTCTCCTGGTGATTGGCCCAAAGTCCCCCAGTCAGCTTTCACGCCTAAGATGGGACTAGAACTCACAGTCTCCCATTTTAGAGCCTGGTGCTTAACCAGTAGAGTAAACTGGCTCTAACCCTAACCCTAACCCTAACCCTAACCCAGTGTTTCTCAACCTTGACAATTTTAAGGCATGTGGACTTCAACTCCCAGAATTCCACAGCCAGCATTGCCCTAACACTGCCCTAACCCTTGATGAGGTTCTTAAAGGCAAAGTTCCTCTCTTGTTTCACTCTCTGACCCAAGTCTCAACTTCTCCTATTGCCAAGCCACCACGTGCAATTACAACATCATTAGAGGGTTGGTGGTAAGCACACATGACCAACTGTGCACCAATGCATGCGTTTGGACAGTCATGTGAACAAACATACTGGGAGGAGACGAAAGAGCAGACGTTGTGTTGTTATGGGAGAATTCCATAGCAACATGCCTTGGGTAGCATTGTTGCTAAGTCAGGCAAAATTGCAAACTCTGAGCCAAGAGGAACAACAATCTACAGGGAGATCAGTTCTAAACCTGGGGGGTAGCCTTGTTCCAGTCATAGTCTCTCACCCTCCCACTTGCAAGATAAGAGATCATCTAAGAGGGCTTTCAGGATTGTTGACTTATTAGCTAGGTGAGCTTGTAGCCCAGGCTAAGGGCTACCATTTTCACCTCTCTAAAAAGCTGCTGTTCATCTCTCCCCCTACTGCAATGATTTAAGAAGAGCCAGTTCGGTATAGTGGTTAAAGGCACAGAGCTGGAAACTGGGAGACTGTGAGTTCTAGTTTTTTTAGGCACAAAGCCAGCTGAGTGACTTTGGGCCAGTCACTTCCTTTCAGCCCTAAGAAGGAGGCGATGGCAAACCACTTCTGAAAAAACGTGGACAAGAAAATCGCAGGCATTTTGGTTCAGGTAATTTCCAGGAATCAAAATCAACTTGAGGCCTTATGTCAACACAGAATCTCCCCCCCCCCCCCCCCCCCCCCCCCCNAAAAACCCCCCCCCCCCCCCCCGCAATAGTCACGTGCAGCTTTTATGACTCCTGGGTGAAATATATTACCTGCAGATCCCCAGCGATCAAGCAGATGGAGAGGGATTGCACACTTAGTCTCCATCCCAAATATAAGCCATCCTCTAAGTCAGGGCTAGGCAACCTTGGCTCTTTTATGACTCGTGGACTCCAGCTCCCAGAATTCCTGAGCCAGCATGGCTCAGCTTGGAAACCTCTCCCTTTCCCCTCAGCATGGCTGGCTCAGGAATTCTGGGAGTTGAAGTCCACCAGTCATAAAAGGGCCAAGGTTGCCTACCCCTGCTCTAAGTGTTTCCCAACCTTGGCCATTTGAAGAATGTGGATTTCAACTCCCAGAATTCCCCAGCCAGCATCTTCAAGAGGTCAGGGTTGAGAAACACTACTCTAAATTAATAACATATCGATGTAGCAGAAATGGGGCAAGAAGGATAGCAAAGCTGCAGCTCCTAAGACACCGCTGAACTTCAGCTTCTACCTGTCCCTGCCAGCAGGGCTAAGGAGAAGACAAGCCAGGTCTTTCAGTTTAGAAAGATTAAAAGGTAAAAGAATAACATATTAAACTCGTATGCCACCCAACTCTGAAGGACTCTGAGGGGCTCACAGCAATCAAACAAAGAAATGGCTATGAGATCAATAAAAACGAGCAATAAAGATAAAAGACGGGAAATGTGATGAATCAAGGGACTGACCACCCCCCCCCGGCCAAAAATAAAATCAGTTTTCCCCTCCGAGGTCTAGGAAAGGGGAGCTCTCTGGAATGGTTTGGCAGCCCATTTGAGAACTGATCTTCAAGCTTCATTCCCAACGCTGACTCAAACATAACATCCAAACCGAAGCCATGGCAGCCTAGATAAAATTCACAGACTGGGACCGTGATGAGAACAAGCAAAGCAATTTTAGACCAAGTCGGATTCTTTGCTCATTCAGTCAATCTTTGCCAACCCTGTTCAGAAGTGGGAGCCTCTGGTTTCGGTAATGCCAGCTTGCCCAAAGAAAGACACACCACCGCCTGTCCCCTTTTTTGCACCAACCAAGAGTTTTGGTTCTTCTCCCCAGATTGGAGAATAGTGGCTTGCAAGAATAACTTTTTGGCTCCGGGTCCCTTTTTCAAAGCAGCGTTCCCAACCTTCACCTGCCTTGCGGCTTGCCCGGGTCTGCTAGAAACCTTTGCCTGAGTGATCACACCCACCCACCCACCTATTCTTTTCCTGGGGATTAATGAATCCAGACTCACAATCCGTCATTTTGCTCAGCACACCCATCCAGCAAGAACTTTCCCTGGACTGAAGGATGGACAGCCTACATTAAAAGCAACAACGACTTGGAAAGGAATCTTGGCTGAATAACCTTCTCCAAGCACCCCTAAGCGCCTCTATGCAGGGCTT